GCCGACCCATCCGGCATGTGATCAGGATCATGATCAGCAAGTCCCTCGGCAGGTGCGGGAGGATCTTCCATCAAAACCCTCATCCGGCACAGCTGCTTCGCCAGGCTGCAAATGTGACTCCGGCTCATATTCCAATTCGTCCGGAGAACACGGTTTGTCGTCGGCAATAGCTTGTTTTGCGGGAAAACAAACGTCTCATCAAGCAGACTGAACTCATACTGCTTGACTCGGAGGGGATTAATATCTCCCGTCCGCAACTTGTCCGGCAAATTCTTGAGCGGCAATACCAAAATTTCATGCGTGTAGGTAAAGCCAGGTTGCACATGATAGCCAACAAAAATGCCGACATCCGAAGTTGGCAGAAACTTGGACTGCTTCGAATCGACGCGCTGACGATTGATCCAATACAGCAATTTTGCACCAAATGGAATCTTCGTGTCAGGAAACTCATCACCAAAACGCAAAGCCCACGGCGACTTATCCTTGTCATCTGGAATTGTAACATTGAGAGCAAATGCATGGTGTTGAGCTGCCAAAGGCCAAAGCTCAACCGGCACTTGCTCCTTCCAGGATTGTACGGATCTCGCGCTCGATCACCCCGGAAGATTGACTGACATATGGCTGGCTCAGCACGTGTCTCCAACCCGTACTCTTCACCGCAGCTGCAATTTCGCCAGAATTGTCAGAATAGAAAATTCCAACGTGGTCATCTGGCTTCGAGAAGTGTTGAAATGCACGAACGCAACTGTCAGCATCTTGCCTTGCTGAAGGGTAAAAATACCGGAACTGCGTGAAAACATCTTTCACAACCAAAGCATTCCACTCGCCCTTGAACCCGTACGTTTCATCATTTGAAATGACGTGGTCAGCAGTCACATGATCTCCAAATGCTTTTGCATCCACTGAGGAAGACCCATGCCTGCGACGAGCTTGAGGTGCTTGCATCTTTGATCGCACACATGTCTCGCAAGAGGGGTTCTTGGGCCTGTGAGTGAAAAGATGCTCTTCACTTTTGGCCTCACGCATCATCATTTCTTTTGAACGCTTTGACATCGGTTTTGGAGCTTCCGCAACCTCAGGGTTGTCCTCCAGTTCTTGATCAAACTCCGGTTCCGGCGGTTCAGCTTCATCAGGGCGCAATGGAAACAATGCGGCATCCGGCGAAGGTCGCCCCCCAACGCCCCCGATCTTCTGATCGGATGCAGCAAGCGCAACAGGCATAGCAGATTCAGAAGCTATGACCTCGCACTGATCGTCAACATACGGAACTCGCCCATCGAGCTTCAATATTACCGCCTTGCCATCAGGTCGCACAAAATACGGAGCACTGTTCTTTCTCCTTTTCCAAACATCTTTGACCAACAGAAAGAACAGCTGGCGTGCTCGGCAAAACATACGGAGTGACGACCTCGTTCAACTGATCAATGGAGAAGTCCGCAATCTTGTCTGCACAAATTGATCCATTTGCTGTTGAAAGATTGATTGGAGTCAATGCAGGGTTGATCCTCTTTTGAAGTGTAACTGCACGCTCAGTGTCAACCAGATCTTGTTCGCTACCTGTGTCGACAATCCACTGACGAAGCCCTGCTGGTGCTGGCGTAGCAATATACTCCGGCACTTCCTCAAGGTTCGTTTCATCATCATCAGTCCAACAACCAGGACAATACAAACCGCAATAAATTGGGTCATTGTCATCATAATAATCGCAATAAAACCCATAAGGCGCGTTGTAGTTTGCTTGCATCAACTCAACAACCCCCTCCAGAATCAAAGCTTTGTCTTTAGCATCGATCAGATCCTTGGGATTTGAGCCAGGCGCACAACCATCATACCACACCACCTCAGGGTCGTTCGGTTTTGGAGCACATGATAGGCATAGCCCGTTGGCCTCGATCTCGACGATCTCGACATTATCTGCAAATTTGACGCATCTGCGGGTATTGGAAACATCTGTACTGCAAATGAAAATTGTTTGCCCAGTCCAGTATTGCTCCAAACCTTCATCAGGATCCGCCCAGAAATCACCAAACACTTGCTCTTTGCCACTAATGTTGGCTTTGGTGATGCGCTGATCCAACAAACATTCCAGCGAAACAGGAAGGTCTTCTGCACTCTTCGGATCATAAAGCGCTTTTCGGGGCATCACATGGTGTCGAATAACCATCTCGTTCACCGAGTCAACTTCCCAGAAATCTTGCTTTGGGCGGCATGCTGCGAGGCATGCATTGGTCTCTTTCACCCTCAGACACACAGCGGCTGAGGACTCGCCCTTTTTGCTCTAGGATCGCTTTCTCCCTTTTCCCTTTGGAGTGGGAGACCTACCTCTGCTGGCTCCTTTCTTTGGGCTCGGCTTATCTGTTGCTGGTGCAGCAGACCGAGTCTCATGCGAAAACGCAGAGTTGTCTCCGCGAGTGCATTTCCCCTGACCGCCTTTGAAAAACCTGCACGGGATCTTTTTCAGCTCCGCTCTCTTTCTCGACGCCGACCGATCCCTGTCTCTCCCCTGGCTGTCAGAGCGCCCCCGACCTTTTCCTTTCGGATTTTGGCTTGGGGGTCTTGGGTCTTTCTCATGCTTGTAAATGCAATTATCCCGAGTGCACTTGCCTTTCCGAAAATCGAAGCAATACTTGACCGCTGAAGGATCTCTTGCACGCCCAGGATTTGCATTGGGAGCTGGAGCACCGACCTTCTGATTGTGAGCTCGAGCGACACGATCACGATTTGACTGCAATCGCTCCCGAGTCAACACATCACGAACAGCTTGAACAAGAAACTCGTAGCTCTTGTCATACGACCCATCTTTTGCACGCTCGTATGTATCAAGGTCATACTTGATCTTGTGACATCCACGAATCTGTCGCAAGAAGATGTCCTTCAAGACGTGCTGCTCCGGAACGATCTTCATGCCAGCAATGACGGAATCCCAATTCTGAATAAAGGTCGTCAAATCATTGCCATGAAGTGCCACCTTTAACAAATCTTCAGTAGAATACAACGCTCCGGCCTCCTCATTCGTTCTGAAATACTGCTCAAACATGAGAAGAACTTGACGTCCACGGACAACTTTGTCCAAAGCGGCTTGTTGCTCCTTGTACGTAAGGATCTGCCGACTAAGGTCGCCCCTAGCAATCCGCGACAAGGCTGCAAGAAGCTTAGTGTCCAAAGTTTCAAACTGCTCTGGATCTCCAAGCTCTAACATGAGATTCTTCTTGTCCTCCCTGTTGACGTACACCTTGTTAACCCAGGTGAATGCAGCGTCAGGCCGATCTGAAGCAGCCCGAATCTCTTCGCGAGTAGCCGTTTTCCAGGCTCTGTAGGTCTCAGGAGTTGGAAACTCACTCAGCCTCAACGAATCAGCTTCCTTTGCTTTTGGCCGATCATGCTGATTCCGGACAAAGCCGAGGAGGGCCGCACGGAACTCCGCCTCGGTGGTCTCGGGACCAGTCAACCGTTCAACATTCGGCTGATTTGTCGGCTGATTTTGCTGACTTCGGCTGTTTTCTTGCTCCGAAGACCGTCTCGCATGATCTTGATAAAAACTGCATTGCACCAGAAATAGGATCAGTCCAACTCTGCTGTGGAATAATCTGAGGCATAGGTCCAGAAGTTTGTGCATTCTGCGTTGGAAAAAGACGCGGATCATCGAAGATTCTGCCCCTCTTATCCAAAAACGACTCTGAACTGACGTTCTGAAAACTTGACGCAGGTTGAGGATCTCTGCGCACCATCTCACGCTGCGCCCTTTCGAGATCATTCCTCAGACGCTCAACGGCGTCGTTCAGCCCGTTGATCGTGTCCTGCATGGCGTGATTTTCCGCCAAAATACTGTCTCTCTGCTCACCGACCGCCTTCTCCGAGTTCTCCATCACAACAGTCTCAGCATGTAAGCTTTGTGCGAAAGCGCTATAATGTGCCGTTCTTTGCGACACAGCTTCGTTCACTTCGGCAGAAATTGCTCCCCGCATCTGACTAACCTGGGCGCTGAAGAAAGCGCGGGACTCTGCGAACTGCTCGTGCAGCTCGAGGGTCCGGCGGTTGTTCTTCTCATCCAGGCGATGCACAGTTTCTGCCAAGTGAGCGCTATATTCCGCCCTTGCAGCATCCATAGCAACGCGATGTAACGTGTTGGCCTCTTCCCTAACAGCGTCACCCGTGTCGTTATGCACATGCATAATGTTCTGGGTGGCTTGGTAGTTTGTCGCAAACCCAAACATGTTTCGAGGATCGCGAGGGTCAACAGGACCATTGGATGCAACTGCACCTTCACTACCGTCACCAACATCTCCAGATATATTGTAAATGGCAGGCATATCTCCGGATGCCACGGCGATCTTTGTACAAGCCTTTACGGCTGATAACCTGTGGTATCAAGCCTAGGCCACCTAAGGGAATACCTAGGCAAGCAGCAAACCGTTGACTACCTTTTCACACTGCTGTCAGTGATCTTGAAGTCTGTAGCGGCGGAGCATGTACAAGTACACTCATGCACAGGGTTGGAACCTGAATCCACATGATTTACAGGAAAACGAAAAGGACACTTCATCCTGGGCTGTCCTCTGATCCCCCGCTAAAAGTGAACAACTTTTAGTGGGTTAAATGGACATCCCCACTAGACGCTAAAAGGCTAAAAAGCTAAGGAACCGGAGCCACCAAGTATCCTATTCGACTCATAGAAGGCTCTACAATTACAAACAGGAGTTGCCTCACGGCCGTGAAGTACTTCAGCCTCAATACCCGGGAGCTTGGAAAAACACCGAGCCCACACGGCGTTGCAGAAATGTTGACCCCAAATTACTAAACCGACTATATAAACACAGGGGGGTGTGCTCCCCCAAGACCCCCCCAAAAAAAAAGTTTGAATAGTGGTCTCCTCCTCCCCACTGAACGGGGGAAACGGTTTCCCCTATGCATCAACTGGGGGGGTTCTTCCATCCGTGCCCCCGCAGCGCCGGTTCCGGCCCCCTCGGTCTGGCGGTCTCAAGCGGTCTCAAGCGAGGGGCGAAGGCGCTGAGGATCTTGGTGGCCTGGCGCCGCACGATCACCGCGGTGTCGTTCACCCGCCTGCGGCGTTTGGGGCGGGAAGGGCGGGCTTGGGGAACGAAGGACCCCGAGGCACCTCGGCACCACGGAATCGTGTGGGAGGTTTAGGGTTTGGGAGTTTAGGGTTTCGCTTGGGGTTAGGGTTTAGGAGGCTTGAGGCCTGGCTGTAGTTAATAGGACACCAACTGATTAGGACAGCGCAGAGTGAACATGGCACAAAGAGAGCTTGTACAGGAGTTCGGCGTTGCGTCGAAGGAGAAACAGGTTGCATGCGAAGCCAAGCTTCCGCTTGAAAAACAAAAAAAGAGTTCTAGTTTCAAGTTGGTTCCACGAAAAATCGTGGGTCCCGGACGTGCAACAATGCGCCGACCAGGGTCGGCATAGACTTGTGCAGCGCGAGGAAAAAAGAATGAGACTTCCAACTGATCAAATTCTGCTGCAGTTTTGCAGAAGGCCCCTCGGTTTCGGCACATGCCGTGGTTGTGAACCTGCAAGACAATGTTTCTTGAAATTCACTTGGCCCGAGCCAACGGGGTCGTCACAGTAAGGCCATGACCATGTAGAGTAACCCCCGCCTTAAATGCTTGATACCCCAAGATTGGTTGTGATATGGCTGGGTGCTTCAAACTTTGGTCAAACAGAAAATGCCCGAGTTGATCAGACGGTTCGCCTATCCTGGAACAGAAGTCCCTAAGTGATGGGGAGTATTCATGGGTTGCAGGGAGTTGCCTGCCAAAAGGATTGAAAAGTCCATGGACTCCGTGAGTACGGCTTCGTCAAGCCGGAGGCGGGCAAAGGCTTTTTCTTTTCCGGGCACGACGAGAGTATGAGGCGGCCGCCATCCGGAATCCGGCACGGGTGAGACGTGCACCGTGGCCGGCGTGCGGCCGAAAATCGCAGAAAAAGCCGCGGCTGGGGTGCATCTGGCTGAAAAAGCCTGCCGTGTTCATGAAATGGCTCATGTTGACTCGTCTGGCGAAACTACAATAATTCCCGAACCACTGGAGCATCGATTACACAGTAAGAATGACAATTCACAAACCAGAAATGAGAAACCATCAAGAAAGAAACCTTCAGAGTGGGTAAGGTTGTAAACCCCATTTGTGAGGTCACTATGCCCAGATCCGTGTTTTATCAATCCATCTGAGACATTGATGCGGGGTGATGTTAACCCCGGCTTCTATTCCAGCCCAATTTCTGCAGGCGAAAGATTCTGTTCAGTTGCTCATCTCCAAATTTCGCTGGTTGCGACTTCTGGCTTCTTTCAACCCGGAAAACACACATATTGGCACCAACTCTCTCTTCTTTTCTTTTCTCCTCGCCACACCCCTCCGTAACTGCCAGCCACCAAAAAAACACAGCCCCACATTTATTCGTGACTGCCAGCCACCCGGCCCTCGACTTCTTCACCGGAAGCCGCCGAAGGACATCACGTCCTCCCGCCAGCCCCCGTTGGCGCGGCCCGTCTGCACCAGCCACCGCTCCGCGTCGGTGTAGGTGCCGGGCGCGCAGCTGGCCGCGCGGTTCCAGTACCTTTCGGAGAGAAGAATTTGTCGCCCAAAAACCCTTACCCAGATGCCCAAGTGGCCATGGGAAAACCGGAAGGGGGTTCCCTTCAAGGAAACTACAAGGGAATTTGTCGCCCAAAAACCCTTACACTCCCTTCCACTATCATGGCAACTGGGAGGGGATTCCTTCAAATAGGAATTCAAAGGGAAAACATAGTTGAAACCAAGTCGTTCCTAACCTAGGTCCTCCAGGTTTGAGAGGTTAGAATTAGGGTACCAACTTTTTTCCGTAGTCTATTTTAGTAGGGGATTCCCATGGGAAAAAGAGGGCATCCTTTTTTGGTTGCTTGACTGTAAAGGGGAGCCCTCACCCTGAACTTGCTGCGAAATTGGAAGGAAACGAAAAATGGAATGAACCAGAAGGGGGTTCCCTTCCAGGATAGGGATTTCTGAGAGAAGAATTTGTCACCCAAAAGCCCTTACCCAGATGCCCAAATGCCCAGTGGATATCCAGGGGAAAAAAAGGCATCCTTTTTTGGTTGCTTGACGTTAAAGGAATTGGAACCCTTCCCAAAAAAGGAAAAAAGGGGAACCCTTCGTTTCTGAGGGAAGAATGTGTCACCCTCACCCTTGAACTTGCTGCTGCGAAATCGGTGGGAAGGGAAAAATGGAATGAACCGGTTTTAGGGGTCCCTTAAAGGAGACTACAAGGATGGTTTTTAGGGGTTTCTGCCCTCACTCTTACCCAAATGCCCAGTCACCATGGGAAAAAAGGCCATCCTTGTTTGTTTGCTTCACTTTAAAAGGGAACCCTTCCCAACAAAAGGAAAGCTCAAGTTGGGCAGGTCACCCTAGCCCTCAAGTTGGGCGACCATAGAGTTCTAACCGATGATTATCGTCTTGTTGGGGGGGGTGGGGGACCTCTGAAGGTATGTCGAGGGCCTCCCGAAATACTCACTTTGATGGGCGCCTGGGCATGTCTTGACGTACGTAAATGGACTTGGATCTTATTGGCGGTTTGGATTGGTGGATTGCTATTCTGGGTTTTTGCCCCCCTTTTTGAGATTATGTTTTGGCGTGTTTGGGATTGGTGTGGGGCTTCTATTCCGGGTTGTTGCCCCTTTGCAATAGCTATGTTTTGGTTTGTTCAGCATTGTTTGGGATTAAGCCAAATTTCCTGGGTTAGATTTTTGGGGGGGTTGGTTTGGACCATATCAGATTACAATGCACCTACCACCAATTAAGTATAGCGTTTGCAAAGTTGTTGTTTAGCATTTGTGAGGATTAGTGGGATCAAATCATTATATAAATCCCTTTAGGATTCATTAGGGCTCGATTTGTTTCACAGATTCAATTCAGAATCGAGGAGCGGGTCAGGCAATTAGACAGTCAGTGAGTCAATCGTGGAAAGCCGAACCCCTTCACCTACTTACCACAAATTTAACAATCCTCACAAATGCCAAACAAAAGCTGGGGCAAAAGTGAGATGGCGCCATCACAAAGACCATCATTCATAACATATGCCTTGTTTGACTAAGACACGGAAAGCAAACATCATAAACAGCTAAGGGCTAAGGTTACATAAAATGCGGGTCAGTCATGTATTTGATCATTACATTCACACGGGTGCAGTCATTGATTTAAGCCTCACAAATGATGTCTCATGGCAAGAGGCGAAACAAACTAATATTTAGGGAGGAAAGCGGTGCTAGCACGCGTTTTTGCAATCCGTCATCTTGTTTTGTAGAGCGGTCCCTGTTTTTTGTTGCTTGAAACCACTCGAAACCCAGAATAGCAAACCACCAATCCAAACCACCAACTAAGCTTAACCTGAAGCAATGTGTTTCATCAATTGCCTACAAAACAAAGGTTTCTTGGGTAGGACATGTTGGACTCCCATTTTGACCTCTCCGAGCATCACCATCTCTCCAGAAATCCTCGCATGAAAACAGCTGGGAAAAAATGGGCCCTATAAAGGAGACATAGAGAACACGAAACGCTGATCCAAACGGAAAGGAAAAACGAACTCTCAGGAGAACGGCGGCAAAAGAATCAGGCGACTTGACTCACTCGAAGGAATTCCTGCCGCGCAGCCTGACCCAGAAGAGACGCATGGAGCCGATGCCCTAAAAGCCACTCGCCCTGCTGGGTCCGTTGAAAAGCCCTCTAAATGGTAGCTCAAAGGGAAACCCCCGACAACCCTTGAGAACTTTTCAGAACCCCTCAATAGTCGCTTCAATTGATCCATGCAGATCACCAAAGGAACTGTACTCACATCCTGCGTGGATTGCCCAACAGCAGTCCAAACTGTTGATTCACCGCTAAAGGGGTCGTCTTTCCAAAAAGAAGTGAGCAAATGCTCTATTCAAAATGAAGGGCACTGACTCATAAATGGGTTTGACTCAAAATGCAAAACCTACAAACTGAAAATCAATCCCTCCCATAAAACAACGAATGGCAGAGGCACTTGACACATCAAGAGGACACTTCAGCCGGGAACGAGTGGAAAACCCCTGAAACCGCCTTAAAACCCGCATCTCTTTTCTTCAGAGTGCTGTTTGGAGGTGGTTTTAAAAGGAAAAGGTAAGGAAAACCGAGGGCGCCCCCCCCCCCCCCGTTTGGGGCCCCCGGCTCTGCCGCTTTCTCGAAGAGCGCTTCGGCGCGCTCGGAGCGGTAGTCCGTCTCCGCCTTCACACCCTGCGCCTCGGACTAAGCCGAAAATGAACATGCTTTCTACGCGGCAAAGCGTGGCCCAGGACACAAACCCGCCCAAAAGGGGCGTCCTTCCCGACCCCCTCTCCCCCCCCACAAATGCATCGAACCGTCCCCACCTAAGAAATTTGCTTGGCAGAGCACACAGGCGCCAAGAAGTCAATCCGACTGCGTGCGGGGCTTCAAGCATGCTGCTGGCTGATGCAAAGAAACTCAAATGGAACCAAGGCAGCGCCGCCCCGAATCACCAGCAGCCTTAGCTGTTCCCGAAATCACGCTTCCTGTTTGGTGGATATCCGCTTCATCCGGCGCAGTCCGATTCTTCGAGAAGCAAGCTCTTGCAAGGCCACATCATCTGTAGCCCCAAGATCCAACTGGATTGGCTGATAGCAAATGAACATCAGCTGCACGCGTGGGCCAAAGGTTGCCAAAACAAGAACAAGTCTAAGCACTCAATCTTCCTCATCCTGGTGTTTGCGCAGCATAGCTTCAGAGGCTGCAGGTGTTTTCCTCCAACGGCTGAAAGCTTTGGGGTCTCAGCCCAGATATGGGTGGTCCGGGGCAGCCCTGAGGTAAGGTTCCACGAGGGTTTTACCAGGGTTCCACCAAGGTTCCACGAGGTTCTGCGAGGGCTGCGGGGTGGCGCGAAAACTAAAAAGAGCACCGCACGCTGTTGGGGATATCACCTGAGCTTATTTTCTGTCCGGGACGCGCGTGCTCTCTAAAGGGGGCCATTATGTCTCCTGTCGCCTGGACCTTTCGCCAAGCGGCCACATCTTGCAGCACCGACGAAAAAGCTAA